ACAACAACATAATAACACCACAGACCATACCACAGCCATGACAGACCACATAACACACACAACCGCACCACTACCCACACGCCGCCGCCAACAACTCCTGGTTCCTCCTACAATCTGCACGGTCAGTCAAGTGGAACACCTGCCTTGGATGGTGCCACTTTAGGGCATGCTCAGGTCTGACGTCAACTGCGACGCCTCCCGCCACCACCACTGGGCGGCAACCATCACAACAGCGCACATAGCCAACGGCGGTAAGAACATACACATCACGACACGTCTCCCGAACGACATGAAGCTCCTTCAATTCAACTGCAACGGGCTACAGAGCAAGAATGAGGAGATAACCGTCTTCATGTGTCGGCTGGTATATTGATAGCTGCGGTCCAAGAGACGAAGTTGCACAGCAATTCAACATTGTTGAATTGTGCCGGGTACAAAGTGCACCGTCGAGATCGCGAGCGAGATAATGGTGGGTGCTTAGCGTCCATCACGCACCACACCGTGCAGTATCATCTTATCGAAGCAGACATCGACCGCATTGATACCACCCTAGAATGTCTAGGCATTGCTATCCGGTCAGGCGATGTTGAGCTCGAAATATTTAACATATACATACCCCGTCACCTGCTGCCCGGCAGGATATCACCCAGATATAGGTGCGCTCCTCAGAGGTGAAAACCGTATGGTAGTAGGTGACTTTAATGCGCACCACGATCTTTATCACTCAAGCCTGTCAAACGATCGTAGGGGAACAGACTTGGCTGAGCAGATAGACGATTCGACATTCTGCACAATGAACAACGACGCACCCTCCAGGATTATGGGTGACTGCAGCAGCTCGCCAGACATCACCATAGTCCGCGCTGGTCTGATAAACAGCATAACATGGCGACCTATGCTGACTTTAGCATCAGACCACCTACCCATAGTCATCTCTATAGATAAACCAACCGACTTTGCCTCCGCCAAACACCGGTCCTATATCAACTTCTCTAAAGCTGATTGGAAAGGTTACGCGGAGTTTACTGAAAACACCTTCACTGCGCTTCCCACACCAACCGACGTCCATCTCGGTGAACGTAAGTTCAGCAGGGCTGTCACCGCTGCTGCAGCTCGCTTTATACCGGCAGGATGTATAACGAACCCACGTCCAAACTTCCCTGCCGAAGCGGCTATTCTAGCCGATGAGCGTGATAGCCTTCGTCAGGCCGATCCCGGAGATCCCCGTATCAGGGATCTCAACGCGGAGATTCGGCAACTAGAAAACGTACACAAGCGGAAGAAGTGGGAGGAGCATATGAAGACCTGTAACTTCACCTCTGGTGTGAGTAAGCTTTGGTCAACCGTGAGGTCACTGTCCAATCCGACGAAGCACGACGACAGAGTCAAAATTTCTTTCGGCGACCATGCTTCGTCGGACCCGGAGCGCTACGCGAGCTATTTTAGCCGGCAGTTCATACTGCATCCTCCGGTGGACAAAGCCAAGCGTCGAGTGACCAGAAGGCTACACAAACTGCCAACAACCTGTGCCCCCCTTGCTTTCACTTGCGGTGAAGTTCAGGTGGCCATCGGGAAGACGAAAGCCTCCAAAGCCATGGGTCCCGACGGAATATGCATGCTGATGCTGAAAAATTTGGGTCCTGCGGGGGTAGCGTACCTAACGGAGGTCCCCAATTTGTCTATGGCCACCCTCATCATCCCAGACATCTGGAAGGTGGGGAGAGTGGTCCCACTGCTCAAACCGGGGAAACCTGCCAACATAGGAAATTCTTATCGTCCGATAGCGAAGACACTCGAGGCCTTGCTACTCCCGTATTTCACAAACCACTTGACCCCAGCGAAGCATCAGCATGGTTTCCGTAAAGTGCACAGTACAACAACAGCACTTAACGCCATAAACACTCAGATAACTCGTGGCCTTAACCGAAACCGTCCCTGTGAGAGAACGATTCTAGTAGCGTTGGACTTGTCAAAGGCGTTTGACACCGGCTGCCATTCCCCGCTACTAGAAGATATAGAGGCTTCCTCTCTCCCACAGAGGCTCAAACGGTGGTCGGCAAATTATCTGAGTGGTTGACACTCGTCGGTAATGTTTAGAGACAAATCGAGTAAACTCAGAAAAAAAAACAGGGGGTTCCACAGGGTGGTGTCCTTTCCCCGCTACTGTTTAACTTTTACATTTCAAAGCTCCCTCAACCACCAGAGGGAGTCTCGATTGTCTCTTACGCCGACGATTGCTCGATCATGGCGACTGGGAATGGAATTGATGACCTGTGTTCGAAAGTAAACGGGTATCTCTCCGAACTTTCTCGCTTCCTCACTGCAGTGTCTAGCCCTCTCCCCTACCAAATCCTCTGCGACCCTGTTCACAACCTGGACGAAGGAGGTCAGGCTACCGCTGGGAATTCACGTCGATGACACACCAATTCCGACGGTGAATAACCCCAAAATACTCGGAGTAACATTAGACAGCCTGCTCTACTTCTCTGCGCACGCAACCGCTATTGTCAATAAAGTACAGAGCCGCAACAAAGTCCTCAAGTCGCTAGCCGGCAGTACTTGGGGCAAAGACAAAGAAACGTTGCTGGCAACATACAAGGCAATAGACCGGCCGGTTTTAAACTACGCAGCGCCAGTGTAATCGCCGGTGACTAGTAGGACGCAGTGGACGAAGCTTCAGACTATACAAAACACCGCACTCAGGACAGCGACAGGATGCCTCCTGATGTCGCCCGAACATCATCTCCACGACGAGGCACAAATGCTCCCCATAAAGGAGCACAACATAATGCTCTGCAAGCAGTTCCTGATCGGGAGCCACAGAAGTGGCCACCCAAACAGACAGCTGCTTGCAGAGGAGCCCTCGCCTAGGCACGTCAGGAGGCATCTATATGAACTGACGGACGAAGTGCAGAGGTTCATCAAGCAACCTCTGGACCCGTCAGCTTACCGACTGGCCCTGAACGGCATTCACAGGGAGTCAGTCTCGAGTTATGTAGACTCTAGACCTGTGAATGCCGTTCTAGGTATACCGCCCCCGGACATAAACGAGACGGAGCTTCATCTGCCTCGGGAGACACGAACGACAATAGCCCAACTCCGCTCAGGCTACTGCAGCAGGTTAAACTCCTACCTGAGTAGATTGAATGAGGATGTGCCAAATGAGTGTCCGGCATGCGTAGAGACCCCACATGACTCGAAACATCTCTTCGCATGCCCGGAAAACCCGACAACCCTAACGGCTTTGTCCTTGTGGACCAACCCAATAGAAGCTGCACGCTTCCTAGGGCTGCCGTTAGTGGAACTTGACGACAACGACTGAGATACCAACCGATCTGGGCGGGGTTGTTGTAGCCGCTACAACAACAACAACAACAGCTGCATACAGAGTGTCCAGATTTGGCGATTTCGCGCCAATTTGGCTATTTTTTGGCTATTTGTGCGTACAAGTTTAGGAAGTCGCCATTGGCGATTTTTGGCGATTTTTCCATTCAAATAAAAATTTTTCCAATTATAAAAATATACAAAACTTAGTTGTCCACGATAATTTTACAGAAGAGGCTAATGAACTGCGTGATAAACTTGACTTAATAAGCATATTAAAAACTGTCAAAAATTTTTAATCACCCTAATCGAAGAACTTTTGAAACGATTACCTACGATTAAATACTTTTAAAAAAGCTTTGATTTTTTCACCAGAAAAGTGTGTGTATCACAAGAGGGCGAGTTTCAGGGACCTGCCAATTCACTAGTTGACTTTGAAGG